ATCAGTGTGAGAAGTCTCGCCTCACCCACTTCAAACACACCAAGCGGGAGAATTGTAAAACAGCAACTTAAGAGTAGACAATAGGACCCTGAGAACTGGCCTTCGGAAAAAAAATGATGGGGATGGTGTTGGCTTATAGGAGAAGGGACCATAGGTAAGTAAGCATTATAAACGGGAAAGCGAGAGAGAGAGAGAGAGAGAGAGAGAGAGAGAGAGATCAGAAGCAAAAGTGTCTATGTGCTTGAACTCTTTAGGAAAGGAGGGGTAAGGACCTTAAGAAAGAGGAAAAGAGCAAAGCAACGGGCCAGTTTATATACTTCAAGAAGTAAGGAAGCAACACACGGTAGGAATGGCTCTCCGAGGGAGTTCGCTAAAGGCAGCTAGAGCTACAGAACCTTTTTATAAACTCTTAAACAATGTAATCTGTTACCCTGGCCTCTTTAGACACAGATACAAACGCTGATTTCTAGAGATCTGTAACATTTCGGAGGCGCTAGAATCGGTCGGATGGGGTGTACACGGAGTAGATCAGTGGGAAGGGCTGAAGAAAAGGCTCGGTGAGAACAAGATGCAAGCCCAGATGAGAAGAGTGAGTGTGAGGAGAGCAGTCCGCAGCCCGGAGAACAGGTTCAGTCGCCGGCTGGGGTCGAGAGCGTCAGGGTGGTAGGGCGGGCACTTCCGACCCCAGCCCCATTGACCGAACACACGGAAACGAGGTAGGTGGAGGCTGCGCAGAGGTCCCAGGGAGAAGTCACATCACCGTGGCCGCTGTCACCCGTGATCGCGGCACGTCCCCGAGGCGGGCTCCCGTACCTTCCAAGGTGACAGTGTCCAGCTCTCTCTGGGAGTGCTCGGTCGCAGCTGCCTTGCCGTCTCCCTCCCCCGTCGAGCCGCTCCCGGCTGCTGCCTCCTCTTTCATCTCCACATCCTGGGGGGCCGGCGGCGGCGGTTCTTGTTCCCCTCCCGGCGGCGGCTTTGCCTTGTCGGCGCCTCGGCGCCGCGCCGAGCCCTCCTGCTTCATGGCTCCCGGGGTCGCGGCCTAGTCCGGGGACCGAGGCAGGGGCCTCGCGTAAACCCTCACACCAGAGACCAGGCACAGAGCTGGGCCTGCACACCAGCGCGGGCTCGCGTCGGGCCGCACGATGACCGAGCAGCTGCAAACTCCTTCCCGGCGCTGGGGCTTCTGGGAAATGCCAGGCCCGGCGAGCAGATGGCCGAGTCCGGGGAGGGGAAAGAAATCAACAGCCGAGGTGCACGGTGGAGGCGGATCTTCTAGGAAGGGGGAGGAGTCCGCAGGAATTTGTGAGGCGGGGAGAGTGGTGATTTTATCTTCCTCCCGAGTGCGTATCTTTGGATGTCCGCGAGAGGTCCCCTTAGACTCCAACCTAACACAGACTCTATACGTAGGTTGGGAGGACCTATCGGAGCGCAGGTCGGGATGACGTCACGAGTTGCTGGGCGGGTTTTTTTTTTCTTTCTCCCCGACAAACTCTCGGACTCGGCGCTGGTCAGGTCCCCTTTGAAATCCGTCAGGCTCGCGCTCTCAACGCCCGCCAGGTTCTTCCACCACCAAGAAGAGAAGGAGGCTGTGTTGGTAGAGCCAGCCTGTTGGGCTTACAATAAACTGAGTTCAAACCCTTTGGCATCCGAAATTCCCTGTTAAATTTTTGTGTAGGCATACTGTCTCTGCAGCCTGGAAGTGGGTTGGGGTATAGAGCGTACTTGTGTAAATTTAATCAAATTTAGTACTAGGAGCCCACTGTTGCATACTGCTGAAAAAACCCAGCAGGCCCAGCGTGGTGGCGCACACCTGATCCCAGCACATGGGGGGTGGGGGCGGATCGCTGAGTTCCAGGCCAGTGTGGTCTACAGAGCAAGTTCCAGGACAACCAGAACTACATAGAAAGACCCTGTCTTAAAAAAAGGAGAAGGGAGGAGGAAGAGGAGGAGGAGGAGGTACTGTAATGTGGATGAGCAAGATGCAAGATGCTGGGGGCGGGGGGGGGGGGGTAAATGCGCTTGCCACCAAGTGTGAAGAGTTCGATCTCTGGGAACTATGGTAGAAGAGAACTGAGTCTCACAAGCTGTTCTCTGACCTCCACAAGCAGGCTGGGATCTCTCCCAAGCCCCATGCTCCTGTGTCGCCCTAGATGACCTGGAACTCACTCTGTAGACCATACTGGCCTCAACCTCATAGATCTGCCTGCTTCTGTCTCCTGGGTGCTGGGATTAATGGCATGTGCCACCACTGCCAGGAATAAATTTTTTTAAAATATTTATTTAGTTTTATGTATATGAGTACTCTTTCTGCATGTACACCTTCATGCCAGAAAGGGGCGTTAGATCATATTATAGATGGGAAACACCATGTGGTTTCTGGGATGATCTCGGGACCTCTGGAAGAGCAGTGTTCTTAACAGCTGAGCCATCTCACCAGTCGCAGAAATGTTTTGTTGTTGTTGTTGTTTGTTTTTGAAAAAAAAAATGTAATGTTCACAGTCACAAAGCTCACCACAAGTAATCCTGGCACTTCGAGGCTGAGAGAACTGTCATTAGTTGGAAGTCAGCCTGCTACATAGTTCCAGGAAAGCCTGTGAAAGCTTGATGCCCTCTCAAAAACTCAAAACAACTGGTCAAGCAAGATGAGTCAGTAGATAAAGGTGTTGCCACAAGCCTGGGGACATATGAGTTCCATTCCTGGAAACCAGGAGGGAACTGACTCCACAGAGTTTTCTGCTGACTTCCATGGGGGCTGTTGCACACGACAAACACTCCTCTTCCTCCCCACCCCCCCACCCCCGCCTCCTCTAAATGAAAACAGCAGAGGGTGGTATCACAGAGACCATTAGAGAAGAGTCAACAGTCTGCATTCTGTTCTGATCTCAGATTGCAGTGCATTGTGGGGATGGAAGGAAGAGGGTGGAGTCTCTGTGGCAGAGGCTCCAAGGGAGCAGTTTGAGTAGGGCTTTATTCACCTAGACACCTGTGAATGGGGAACAGAACAATGTTCTTCATGGTACACATAAATGGAAGAAAACTGGACCAGAAAGCCTTCCCATTCCTTTCTCACAAGACTCCTTCAGCATCAGTTTTGAAGATACAGGGGTATATCTCAAAGCATAAAACAAAACCACAGCATGGAAACATTTTATATATATATATATATATCCCCTCTATAAACACCATCCTGAGTTTCAGAGCTGGAACTTGCTCAGCACACATTCTAATAAGGATTCAGAAGAGAGAGGGTATGTTCTGACTAGATTCTCTTTTGTATTTTTGAATACTCAAGACATTGTCCTCTGTTTGTTTGTTTTGAGACGGGGTCTCACTATGTACCCCTGGCTGGCCCGGAGCTCACAGAGATTCAGCCTCTGCCTCCAGAGTGGTGGATGAATGGCAGCTAGAGTATTTATCTGTCCTACCGCACCTGGCAGCTGCATATCTTTTTTTAATTAATTTAAAAAATTTTATGTGCATGGGTGTTTTAATTGCATGTGTATGTCTGTGTGAGGGTGTTAAGTCTCCTGGAACTGGAGTATCCAGGCAATTGTGAGCTGCCATGTGGGTGCTGAGAATTGAACCTGGGTCCTCTGAAAGAGCAGCCAGTGCTCTTAAACAGATAAGGCATCTCTCCCGCCTCACATATCTTCTCAAAATTAGTTGGGGCCACTCTTACCATGTTGTACGTGTGGAAGGCAGAGGACAGCTTTCAGAAACCCGCTCTCTTTTTCCGCCATGTGGGGCCTGGCAACTGAAGTCAGGTCCTGAGGCTTGTCAGCAAGGGCCTTTACCGCTGAGCCGTCTTGCAGGTGTCCCTAATTATCTTTTGTATTATTTTTATTGTATTCTGGCAAATAACCCTCTGTATTAAATGGTCAATTGCCAAACAGAAATGTTGTGCTCCGGTTTGGGGGCACACACCTGGACCTCTTCATCCAAGCTGTACCCCCCCCCCAGCCCTCACCCCCTGCCCCGTGCTGGGGGACAGGGAACAGAACTTTCGAATGAGCACAGGGATAAACTTGTTAAAGCACTCTCAAGACACTCTAGACTGCAGGTGGGTGGGAACGGTAACAAACTAGCTTTTGTCATCCATCCTTCCAACCAAAAGGGTTACCAACCAGTCTGGACAGTTGAGGTGTTAGCTCATCTCTCTGTTAAGTTTGCATCACAGGGAAAGGAAAAAAACAAGTCAGCAGACAGCAACTTAGCAGACCCGAGGGCTTCAGAAGATGCCAAGAAGCTTTTGGAAGCTGGCCATGAGTGTATGGAGGGAATTGCCTAGACAAAGAGGTTGGTATGAAGTGGGCGATTCTAACCCTCTGACTTCCCAGGCCTGAAGTCTTGGAGATATATTCTACTTATAAAAATGCTTTAAAAGAGATTGGAGCTGGGTGCGCACGGTGGATCATGGTGCCTGTAATCCCAGCATTTGGGGAGGCAGAGGCAAGCAGATCTCTGTGAGTTCAAGGCCAGCCTGGTCAACAAAGTGAGCCCCGGACAGCCAAGGCTACACAGAGAAACCCTGTCTTAACAAATAAACAAGCAGTGATTGTTTGGTTGGTGTGTGTGTGTGCCTGTGTGTGTCTGGTGCTGGAGAGATGGCTCAGAGGTTAAGAACATTGGTTGCTCTTCCCAGAGGACCTGGGTTCAAGCCCCAGCAACCACATGGTGGCTCCCAGCCATCTATATTCCAGTGCCCTCCAGAGATCCAACCTTGTCTTCTGGCCTTTGAGAGCACTAGGCAAGTAAGCGGTACACATATCTACATGCAGGCAAAATACCCACACGTGGAAGAGGAGACAGAGCTATTAGAGGGATGGTGAGATGGTCCTGCTTGCTGCCAAGCCCGAGTGAGTGACTTCAGTCCTTGGATCCTAGCATGATGGGAGGAGAACCAACTCCTCAAAGTTGTCCTCTGACCCACACAAGCATACCATGGCACATGCACACCCCCCCAATAAATGTAAATACATAAATAAGATTAGTGACAGATGTTGAAAGCCAGCTTTAGGCAGAGGGTGATATGGACCCAGAAGTTTAATGAGATTATGATATACAGGCCAAGCCTGTCCACACTGTTTCCTCCCGTACCCAACCTGAATTGAGGGATGAAAACAAAGCAAAACACAACACAACACAGCAACAGAAAAGAAAGCAAGTCTCATTTAAAATAGTGGTTCTCACCCTTCCTAATGTTGTGACCCTTTAATCCAGTTTTTCATGCTGTGGTGACCCCCAAACCATAGAATTATTTTCACTGCTGCGTCGTAAGAGTAATTTTGCTACCGTTATGAGTTGTAATGTAAATATCTACTATGAAGAATATCTGATCTACAACCCCCATGAAAGGGTAATTTGATCTTCTAAAGGGGTCGTGACTCCCACAGGTTGAGAATCACTGATTTAAAGGTTTGGATCTTATTCTTAGGCGCCCCTCTCTGCTCTTGTTCTTTTTTAATTTTATTATTATTATTATTATTATTATTATTGTTTTTGGACAGGTCTCACTACGACCACATTCATTTTCTGCTTAACCAACTTGAAATTTTGTTTTGTCTTGTTCGGGACTTGTGTCATACCCCTCTAGACCTTTCCCTCTCTCAAGCCCTCAACCAGGGCTAGAGAATGTGGGCTCTTTGGTGAAGCCATGCTGCTTTGGTGATCTTCTCACTGTAGAGCATTCTGTGTTCTAACTCTCTGAGCTTTTGGAGCATTTTTCAGCAGGCCCGTGGACAGTGTGAACAGTATCGTACATATAGGTAATGTCTGTTTCTTTACCTGGCACAAATGAATGATCCCCTTTACAGAAAAACCAAAAGATAGCTTGTCTTGGAATTGATATAATATTTTCATTCGTTTCAATAAGGCTAGGCTTTTTGTTTTGTTTTGGTTTGGTTTGGTTTTTTTTTTTTTTTTTTGAGGCACAAGTAGGAAGGATTAGACTAGACAATAAATGTTTTGTTGTTGTTGTCTTTTGGTTTGGGGCTTTTATTTATTTTTATCTTTTTATTTTTTGAGACCAGGTTTCTCTGTGTAGCCCTGGCTGTCCTGGAATTCACCCTGTACACCAGACTGGCCTCCCGAGATCCACCTGCCTCTGCTGGGATTAAAGGCGTATGCTACAACCACCCAGCTTTTTTTCCTCCCCTTAATGAAATGGCTCAAAGTTGGAAGGGTTTGAGCGATTCTGTATCTTCAGGATTTAAGCATCAGGACATGGGCTTAGCGGGGCGCTGAGATGGAGGACAGAAGAAGACAGATGATGAGGCAGGTGGAACTCGGTGATGATGGAACTGGCACTTCAGTTACCCTCAGCCTGGAGGTTCTGTAGTGTGCTGGAGAGTTAGAGATAGAGCGCAGTGAGGTTGGGAAGGTGTTAGGGAAGCAGGCAGGGAAGGTGCATTAGGAAGCCTTGCTCAGCAGCTGAAAGAGGGAGAGACCCGCATAGAGGGCACAGAGGCGGGGGAGGGTGTCTGGATCCCACGTGTACTGGGGGCCTGATCTCTGGACTTCCAGGCCACTTAGCCCCACCAAGGCTTCTGTAAGGGTCAGTTCCTCCTCCCCGAGGGAGGAGAGCAGATCAGGCCGAAGGGGGAAAACACCCTCTTTGTCTTGCAGGAAGTTCTGCTCCATGGTGCTTTCAACCTGCAAGGGACCAAAGTGTCCTGAGAAGGAGGAAGAGGAAAGCCTTCCTCTCTCAGGCTGATGGCCCTAGATGTCTAGGGAGAAAAGAAGACATTTTTCTCCAGGGATGAGGCAGGGTCCTCTGAGCACTGCAAGTTTGCAGGTTCCCACTGGCTCTAGCTGCTCCCTCCCAAACTCTCCCATCCCCCCTGCACTGTGGCTTTTTCTCACCAGCTTCAGTTGCACCGGTAGGATCTTTTTCTCCACAGATTTTACTAGAAGCTTCTGTTGGGCTTCACTTAACACTGGAGGGAAAAGCAGAAAAATCGATAGGTTGCTGGTACTGAGGGAACGACAGACTCCAAATAGTGAAATTCCAGCATATTCTAATCTGCTAAACCCATCCATCCATCCATCCATCCTTCATCCATCCACAGCTGAATACCAGCTCTATAACACAGTTTCGCTGGCTATTAAAAGCTGTGGTCCTTGACTGGGTAGAGAGAACACACCTTTAACTTCAGTGTTTGGGAGGCAGAGGTATATGGGTCCCTGTGAGTTTGAGGCCAGACTGTTCTGCACAGTGAGTTCCAGGCCAGCCAGGGCTACATAGTAAGACCTTGTCTAAAAACAAAAACAACAACAACAAAACAGCAAAGTCACGTGTTTCTTGTTTGTTTTTGAGACAGGATCTCATTCTGTAGCCCAGGCTGGACTAGAACTCACTCTGTACCCAGGTGGCCACTCCTGAATGCTGGGATTATAGGCACAGGCTGCCATGTTCGTGAAAATCCGGGAGCCATAACTGAGGGTTTATTTTGAATTTGGCATTTGACAGAAAGTTTACCCCTACCACATTTTTAACTTAATTAGTTAATTAAAAAATTTTTTTAGACAGGATCTCACTGTGTACCCCTGATTGCCCTGGAACTCACCATGTAGACCAGGCTGGCCTTGAACTCACAAAGATCTCTGCCTCTCCAGTGCTGGGATTAAGGCATGTATCGCCATGCTTGGCTTTCCCCTCACTTTATGTGTGTGTGAGTGTGTGCGCGCGCACACGTATGCATTCGAGCATGCCGTGGTGTGTACCTGGAGGTCAGAGGGCAGCGTGCAGGAGCTGGTGCTCTATCAGGTAGTCTCTGGGAATTGAACTCACATTATCAGGCTTGGTGGCAAGCAGCTTTACTCACTGGGCCATCTTATGGCCCTTGAGAAACGTGTCAAACAGCTCAGCTTAGGTCTAAGGGACCCAGAGGGCTTTTTGTTTGTTTGCTTGTTTTTGTTTTGCGTCATGAAGAGGGAAGGAGAGACTCTCGGCGCAGTAAGATCAGTTACTCTCTGAAGTCAGAGCTAACAGCAACATGGAAGTGATGAACTTAGCTCTGTACAGAAGGTTGAAAATGCAGAAAACAACAACAACAAAACAGATCAACCGAATGAATAAAACCAACTTGGTGCTGATTTTGATTTTTTTTTTCTTCCCTCCAGTACCAGTGGTTGAACTCAGGAACTTGTGTGTGCTAAGCGAATGCTGTAACGCTCAACTACATCCCCAGGTGAACCAATTAAAAAAAAAAACAAGTCTATATAAACTACTGTAGCGTAAGCATCCACGCCTTCATTCATGTGGGAATTCGTTCACATGATTTGCTCTTGTAACAGAAAGGAACTACCTAACTCGCTCCTCACTCACCTGTTAGGGCCCCAAGGAAATAGAGGATGGCGTCCATGGCCTCCTTGGACAGCAGGACATCTCTGGGGAGTGCTTCCAGGGTCACTTCGTGCCCGTTGTCGAGAGCGCCCTCCAGCTGTGAGGGAAACTGGATGGTTAATACCTCAGGCCAGGTCTAACCTCCACCCGGCACACAATAGTCTCTGATCTGAGGCTGACTCTCTCCCACTCAGAGAGACAGGTGAAGACTGGGGGGTGCGGCGGGGGGGGGGGCTCCTTCTTCCCCGGGTTTTGAGCTCTGGAAAGTTCAAGCCGTTCTCCAGCAGAGGGCGCCACTAGCCTGTTACTACCCTATCAGTGGGCGCGCGGCACTTCAGGGAACCCCGCCCTACGGATACTCCTTTGCAGGGACAGAGGGCCCAGTGGCGGCCCAGCAGCCCAGGTACACTTGGCCAGGCTTGGGAAAGACATCTGCTGTTCCTTCCACAGTCCCTGGCCACTCTGTGCCACCCGTCGTCGGGGCTCCTCCCGGTCTGCAACGCCCCAGACACGCCTCCCCCACACTTCCTGCTTCCCACTGGGGCCTCACCGTCTGCTCCAGGTCTTGGAGCTCTTTTTTCTTTCCTAGGAGGTTGCTGAGGGAGGTGAGCAGGGAGCTTTGCCCCTCTGGGCTCAACTTCTCCACTTCTCGAGTCTCTCTCTGAACCTCTTCTTTCAATGTCTTGAAGTCCTCGTGCAGCTCCCCTAAGGGGGCACAGTCAGGGTGGCCGGAGGGACCCCTTCACCTGGCGCCCTCCCACCCAGGCCCCCTCCCAGCTTCCGCAGGACCCAGGGCCGCGCCTCCCGCTTGAATCTGACCCTCCCCCTTTACCAAGGTGCCATGTGGTTAGGAAGGGATGCTAAAGCCTTGTCGCGAAGGACGGGGCAAGGAGGTGGACCGCACGCCGTCCACTAACGAGACGGCTTCCCCCCTTATCCGAGCACAGTTGACCTCTCCTCCACCTAGACATTTAAGGGAAGCCTTCCCCGCTCCCTTAGTCTGTCGACTACTTAATGAAGGGTAGGCCGAGACTGCTTAGAGCACTGTGGATCTGTATCCAGAGACGCGTGTGAGCTGTAGCCTGGCAGTTTAGAGGAGTCCTAAAAGTACATCCAGTCAGCGTTGGCGGGAGTGGCTTCCTGGAGGTGGCTCTATCCCAGGACCTCAGCCTTTGTCTCCCCCCCCACACACACACCCTAATGCTTCTCCCCCTACCTGTGTGGCAAAGCCTTGAAAGAATTCACAAAGCTCCTTACCCACATCAGAGGCCTGGATGACTGAGAAAAAGAAGGAGCAAACAGATCAGAACACAGTCCTTCAGAATGGCAGCCGTCCCTAGGGTCCCTGGCCATCACCCCTCCGAGGTCCCAGCTGTCTTCCCAATCCTCTTGCCCTAATCGGGAGGCAGGAAGGGACCAGAGGAGCTAATTCAATGTGAAAAGGACACTCCTGATAATCACCCAGCAGCTAAGTGAGTCAGCACCTCCTGCCCTGGGTACCGGGCAGCAGATATATGGGGAGCAGGTTGCAGCCACTGAGGCCCCTGAAACAGAGGTCTGGGCCAGCAGATCTGTGCGTCTCAGCCACAGAGCTCCACTTCCTGCTGCTTTTTCCTAACCTCCAATTGGACAACTGCTTGTTGGGGTCCTTCCCACTCTCTTCCCTGTCAGTCCCATGGAGGAGAGGGGAAGACGAGGGTTTTGAACTTGAGTCAAGGAAGTTGTGCAATGACAGGAATACTTACATATGAACTTCCCCTCTGCTGGCCTTTCTGAAAACACAAACAGAGAACCCCTGTCAGGACAAACTCTTTGCCGCTTCTCATTAAAGCCTCACCACAGCAATATGGAAACACGGGGACTCTGCTAGCACACCCCCATAGAACTTTGGAGCACACCTTGTCTCTCTCTGTTTTTTTTCTTTCTTTTCTCTCTCTCTCTCTCTCTCTCTCTCTCTCTTTCTTTCTTTTTGGTTTTTCATAACTGTGTAGCCTTGGCTGTCCTGGAACTCACTCTGTAGAACAGCCTGGCCTCAAACTCACAGCGATCTACCTGCCTCTGCCTGCCTGAGTGCTGGGATTAAAGTCATATGCCAACACCACCCGAATCTCTCTATTTCTGTTGGTGCTTTGGCCTCGGTTTCTTTGTTTCTTTTGGTCACTATTTATACGCCACACCTCTATCTGTCTAAGGACGAAGGGAACAAGAGCAGATGCTCTGGGGGGGGGGGTTTAGCAGATAGCAGCAGGGCAGGAGAGGTGGGGACCTGTAAGGGGTACACTCACCTCCGGGAGGGAAGGTCTGCATGCTGTCATTGCAGAGGTGTGGAATGTCTGTAAGGGACAAGAGAAGGCATCCGGGAGGCCATCACCAGCCGCCACACCCTTTCTCCATCAGCCTCAAATCCCCATCTAATTCTCTACCCAACCCAATGCTGGAAGTTCTCAGCATTTTCTTCCCTCTTCCCCCGAATCCAGTACTGGTGTCAGGATCTGTCTCCTCCTCCGGCTTCCTGACCAGAGGCTGTGCTGGATAGTTTTTTGTGTCATTCCCCCACATCGGCCCCAGTGTCTAGCGCCCAGGGACACCTGGAACTCAGAGCCCCTTCGCCTCTTTTTCTAGAGCAGCCTTTACTCTGCCTCCAGCAATGAGCAGTACAACTTGCTTCCTCCCACATCCTCTGACATTGCAAGAGAGGACCAGGGTACCACTGCCCAGAGGCAGGCAACCCTTATCTCGAGGGGAGAGCATGCTGGTGTCTCTCTGCTCACCCCACTCGTCTCGTCCATTGACCATCAGCTGTCTCACTCGAAAGGCCAGGACACAGCCCTTGGGAATGGTCACGGCCTCCTTGTGGTTCACGGATCCCTAGAATTACACAATGAGAATCTGTGAGTTCTCTGAGATCCTGTGCAGGAGACGTCAGGAGTAGGGGGAGGAGGTAGGTGCAGGGAGGGTCTGAGAGCCTTTGAGGAGACAATCGGTTGGAAAGCCTTCAGTAGGATCTCCAGTCGTCTTTCTCTGTGGTCTGAACTTAGGGGCCTCGAAGCCTCCCCATTCATTTCTGGTGATCGTCCCCTGCCAGGCTATGTCTGCTTCTGGATTGGACAGGAAAAGGGAAGTAGACAGACCTGCTCCGGCACCTGCCTAAACATCGCCCTGTCCCACCTCCCAGCTTTGTTCCACAGCAGTTCCTCCTTCCTCTACACCAACTGCTCCATTCCTATCTCATTCAGGAAGTCTTCCACAACCATCCCCTCCCCGCGGCTCCCAATCCCATCCATCCCTCTCGAATACTGTCCCTAGATGTACGTACAAATCTATAGATGCCTGTACAGATGCACTTACGTCTACTGAGTTTCCCAAGCCTACGTCTTCTGGGCTTTAACTGTGTGTCTCATCTAGACGAAAAGACTTCCTGAAAGCGGGAAACCACGTCTACCCCAGGGCCTGACCAGCTAGCACAGACTAACCTCGAACCTGTGACCCTCCTGCCTCTCTGCCTTCAGAGTGCTGGCCTTACTGGCGTGCACCATCATACCAAGCAGAAGCTGTGCTCTTCAGCTTGGGCAGGGGGCAGGGAGGAAGAGGGATGACCAGGAACTCAGTAGCACTCGGCTTGCTCCATAAAGTCTGTGGCATATGGAAAAGGGACCTGCCCTGCTGCCCAGTAAAGGGTGTGCGTGGCCAGCTTGGCTTTAGAACTTTCTTTCAGGTCCTGTATCCTAAGTGGGCACCATTCGGGCAGAGTTAATGTTTGTTTGTGTGTGTGTGTGTGTGTGTGTGTGTGTGTGTGTGTGTGTGTGTAAGGCAAACCTGTAGTCCCAGTGGGGCAAAGAACGGGAGGGAGAAGCAGCCCTCTGCCTTGCCAGCTCTCTCCAGAGTGACTTCCTGCACGGTCTCCACCACCTCCATCACCACATAAAGGTTCTCCCCGCGCTCCCGCATCTCCTTCAGGAACGGGTGGTCAGCTGCCAGTTTCCTAAGGTGGGAGAAGAGTAAAAAGACACCAGCTCGGCGGCTGGCTCTTCCCCAGGGCCAGCACTTGTGGTTTATATTTCTACTTATAATTTTATTTTATTTTTGAGACAGGGTCTCACTTTACAGCCTTGGCCGGCCTGGAGCTCTCTATGTAAACCAGACTGGCCTGGAGCTCACCGAGATCCACCTGCCTTTGCCTCCCAAGCACTTGGACTAAAGGCTTGTGACACCCTGCCCCGAAGTGTCTACTTTTTCATCTGTCAATCCTAGACAGCATGGTGCCAGGGAGGAAAAAAAAAATGAGGGCTTCGGTCAGACCACAGTGCAAACTCAGACCGCCTGCTTCCTGGCAGGGCAGCTGCTTTGAGACTGAGTTGCCTCATCTATAAAACAGAGGTGACGCCAACTACCTCCCAGGGTGCCGAGATAAACTGGGCAAATAGCCGGAGGCTCAGCACCTGGCCTGGGCCAGGGCTTCATGGTCGCTTCCTCCTCTCCTCCTACCACCCAGGACCAGGCTGTCCTCTTTTTGGCTGCTGTTCAGGTAGTCTGAGATTTCTCTCTGTCTCGTTTTTTTTTCCTGTTTGGTGTGTGTGTGTGTATGTGTGTGTGTGTACATGCATGTATGTGTTTGTGCATGGCTATAGGTGCTACACTGTGGAGGTCAGGTGACAGCCACCCCTCAGGTGGTTTTCTTTGCCTTCGACTTGGTTAAAAATAAGATCTCTTGCTGCCGGCTGCTGCGTAGACCAGGCTAGCAGGGTCCCTCCAGGTCACTCTCCCGGGGTTCCCCTGTCTCCATGTTGGTGTAAGAACACTGGGATAGCAGAGGCATGAGTCTCCCGACCTTCCCGCTTCCGCTTCCCAGGCGTGGACCATCACCCTCGCCTCTTCTTCTCCATCTATACTCTCACCTCCTGCCGTCACAAGCCCCACACCTCCCCCCCCAACTGGCTCCTTCCCTTTGCTTCCATACGAAAACATGTCCCCGTCCGTAAAAAATCCACTTTCATTCCTGAACACTCTCAAACCCCCCTTTCTTCTTTCCTTCGCCTTAGCGGCAAATTGCTCCAAGCTCGCTCTCGAAGCCAGCATCACCCCTGTCGTAATTTCCTCTAATTTGCCTTCTGTTTCTGCCACTCAGCTGAAATCACTAAACTCAAAGATCCCTCCTAGCTATGGACCACACTGGACCTCTCCGGGCTGGTACCTTGGCTTCCGATTGCTCACTGCTTCTGCTCCTATCTTTCTGGCATCACGGTATACCTTCTATCTGACTCACATTTTCCAGTTAATTTGGCATCTTAATCTTTCATGTCCTCTGAGATTTTGGTGTTTTCTTTGTGGTGTGTGTGTGTGTGTGTGTGTGTGTGTGTGTGTGTGTAGGCCAGAAGAAGGCATCAGATCCCCTACAGCTGGTGGTTGTGAGCTGCCTGTTGTGAGAACTGGGAACTGAACTCAGGTCTCCTGCAAAAGCAGAGAGTGCTCTTCGCCGCGGCACTAACTCTCCAGTCCCTGAGATCCTATCTTTATGCCTCCTCTCTCTGAGGTTCTCCAGCTTCTTCATCCTCCCCCCCCCCCCGCTACCCGGTTCTTACCACCTTAATCTGTACCTTGCTGACCACCACGTGGGCATCCCACCCTGACCTCTCTCTGAGCTCCCAGCCCCTTTGCCAGCGGCTCCTTGAACAGCCTCAGCGGTTCTCCAGCTGTGCCTCGAAAGGAGCTGACAATCACCCCCACAGAACCACCATTTGCCTGCCTCCCTGTTTTGTCATCTTCAGCAAAGCCCTCGCTGTCGCCTGGCAGTCAGCTGCGGAGTTTAACCCACTTTGGCAGCCCTCGCACTAAGCCTGGCACCCACCTGATCCTCCGCACCTCCGTCCCGGCCACGATTCCTAGCTCGTCATCGTTTTATGTCTGATGGATAGCGGAACGGTGTCTTTTTGGAGACACCTGCTCCTCAACCCCTCCCCCCACCTTCCTCTATCTAATGCACTTCTCATCTGATCAGGTTGGTCACGACACACATCGGAGCAGCATCAGAGACTCAGGCTCTCCCTGGTGTCTGCCAGTTGGGCTCCTTAACCCGGTTTCTTGTTCCTACCCGCTCTGGGTCTATGCTACGTCTTTCGCTTGCTCCATTTGTGCCCCCTTTCCATCTGTCACGCTGGCTATTCTGTGGTTCCTATTGGTTTTGAGACATCTCACCTGCATGCCTTTGTAAGCCATTTCTCCTCTCTCCCCGGAGGCCCAGTTTATACCCATCATTCAAGGCCTCAACCCAAGACCACCACCTTGTTCGGATCTGCCTCAGTTCCCCAGCCAGAAGCTCCCCTCCACTGGCTGTCAGCCTAGCAGAAAGTGTCTCATGCACTTTGCACATTGCTTTTCCCCACTGGATAGTTTCTCTTTTGTTTTATTTTTGTTTTTTCAGACAGGGGTTTCTCTGTGTAGCCCTGGATGTCCAGGAATTCACTCTGTAGACCAGGCTGGCCTCAAAATCAGAGAGCCTCCTGCTTCTGCCTCCCCAGTGCTGGGATTAAAAGGGGTGTGCCACCCCACCCCCGTTGGATAATTGCTCTTACACAGTAGTTTTCACCCTCCTACACCACAAGGTTCTTGGACATAGACATTCTAGGTGCACCAGCACATAGTAGGACTCTTTACTCTCAGTGAGAACTCTGTGAATGTTCACCGGGTGACTTGTCAAACATTCAAGCCTTTTCCCTCCAGCCCCTCAAGGCCTCGCCTGCTCCTTTCAACCGCTACTTAGTTATTTAAAAGTCAGGTCCCCTGTCAAGCCAGACGTGTGCCAGAGCCTTGTATGGACGTCCTCTCTGCCGTACTCCTTGCCTGCTGGGGCAGCGTTCCCTAGGTGTGTGGATGGAGCCAGTCTGAAGCTTGCTTTATGGGAGCTGAGAGTCAGACACCACCGTCTCTAGAAAGGACAGTTACTACCAACCTCTGCCTCTCCCACTGCATTTCACAATCTTAGGGTAGAAGGAACCTTAGAAACTGTCGTCCATCCCTGTCATTCTGTGGCAAAGACAACTGAGGTTCCCTGAGAAGTGACTCTTCCAAGGTCGCATATCTACTGAATGTGAACATTTGAATGTGTGAGTGTGTGTGTGTGTGTGTGTGTGTGTGTGTGTGTGTGTATGATACTGGAGGTGGCTGGAGGAGGGGAGGAATGTCTAGGAAATGGCTTGGTAGATCCCCCTTGCACCTGCTAACCCCCAGGAGAATTCTCTTTAGGGATTCTCCCGTGGAGACCACGTTGGCAAAGGTCAGGGTGAGGGTTTTACCCTTCCACTGGCACTACCCAACGCCATCCCATCCCCCACCAGCCCCGTCCCCTCTCACCTCTCCTTGTGCAAGTTCTCCAGAGCCTTGGGAGACACGCTGAGTGTCTGGACCTCCAGTGTGCTGCTTCGTGACAGGCCCGCGGTCCCCTTCACCTTCACTGTCCTTGGCACATCCACGTCTCCCTCTACCCGGGCATCCAGCATATTCTTAAAGCTAAAGTTCCCACAGTCTGTTGGGTCTGCGGGAGGGAGAGGACAGGGGGAGTTGAGCTGGGAGGCACCCCCACTGTCGCCTCAGCACCCCAAGAACTTTGGGCTTGGTGACCTCTAACCATAGCAGGGAAGGGAGGGCTTCAGAGCCTTCCTGTGGTCCAGGTGGCTGGCCCCGGCCCTACAGGACCACTTAGAGCCCAGATCTGCTTGAGAGCCTGACCTGAGGGGTTGCTCCCCGGCTCCAGCACATCCAGGAATGTGTAGTCAGTGCGGACGTAGCGGGCCCCCCAGAACAGCGTGCTCTTCCTCTTCCTCAGCACCAGGCAGAAGGGGTGGAAACGCTTGAAGTCGATGAGGCTGTCTAGGGGTGTCAGATCGCCTCGAGGGTTCAGCTGTCTGGCCAGAGCCCGGGTGACATTATCAAAAATAGTCATTGTCTCTGGGGAGAAAGATGAAGGGTGTCAAGATGGCTGCTGAGGACATCAAGACCCGGAAAGGACTTTGTAAAGAGGGGTGGTGGCCCGGCTTCGCTCCTAGAGCTGGCGGAGAGATTGGAGAGGCCTGGGTTTTGGGATGTTGGATCTGGAAGGAACCCAAAGGAGTCCCCATCTTGTGACGACGAATCCTGGGTTCCAGAACCCACATGACTGGCAGGAGGTGCCAGACCTCCCCTTTGTCAAGGGCTGTTTTCTTACCACATGTTCATTTCTTCAGAGTCACGAAGCCTAGCTAGAGCATGTCATCAGCAGGGGAAGGGGGCTGCCTCTCACCCTAGGGGGCAGCTGTAACTAGGACCTGGGGACACCAGGGAAAGGAAGCAAGCGCCACTGTGGCCAACAGCCTGGCCAATCAGAGCCTCGAAGCTCCCCCGGTTGCCCTTCCTTGGCAATAATATTCTTGCTTCTAGCTTTTTCTCCCCTCATGCCCACCTTCTAGCAACGTGGCTGTAAGTGGACCAGCTCCCCAGGCTCCGTCCCACTCACGTTCTAGCCTGCGCTTTTTCTGCCAACTGTACATCTTCTTTCCGATAGAAAGAATTTGTATTCATCCTGTAAGACTCGGTTCAGCTCACCCATTCAGCCCTCTACTCCTGTGGGCATCGTAGTGACTCTGCCTGTATTCCCCAGGCACCTTGTCCCATCCGCTTCTGAAACACCTGCTAATTCATCTTGTCAACATCTGTGCACCTGACTGTCTCGCCTACTCGACTGTGATTTCCCAGAGGGCAGGAAATGGGACTTAGTCACCTCTGCAGGCTCAGCACCAGGCACCGTGTCTGGTGGAAAGAAGGAAAGAGAGAGTCAGTGTGGCCCTGGCTCACACTCAGGCGCGAGAGGGTCCAAGAGGATGTGAGACCTGAAATGACCTGAAGTTCACCATCTTAGGTCTCTGTCTTTGAAGTCTAGGTATCTCACTGGGCAGCCAGCAGCCACACCCAGATTATCCTGGTGGGTGGAAGAGGACAGACAAATGAGCTAGCCTCCGTGGGGTTCACCTTTCTGTGGTACTTGACAGAAGCAGGCATACACAGATGCGTGGGGCCATCCTGCCATCTCCAATGTGCTTCTCGGCCCTCTTTTCCTTGAAGGGCTTGGAGAGCACAGGTCCCTCCAGGGACCAGACTAGTATACCTGAAAGTTCTCTTCACCAGAGAAGCACTCAAATGGCCATTCCTGTCTTCCCTCTCTCAGGCCTACCATGATACCTACCCTCGGTGAAATCCAAGCCACCATGAAGGATAAGAAATCCCATGCCCTTTTGGTCCCAACCTTTCCTCTAGATCCCCCTGCCTCCTCTGCCGTCATCCGTCTTACCGGGAGCGGGTGACGCTGGGTCCTGTCTGGCTGCTGGGTGGTGAGGGACCAGAGCTTGCTGTAGGCTGAGGGAATGACTGGCTGTCCCATACCAGGACAGGCTGCTTTATGCTGGAGGCAGGTACTAGGCGTCCACAGACCCCGCCCACCTCGAAGGCCCCACCCCTTGGTGTTCCACTTCCAGGAGAACAGCATCAACCTGTTTCAAGTGTGCCCCACCTCAGGCCCTGGGCCCTGACCTCCTAAGAGATGAGGGGGGTGGGTAGGGAGCTGCCAGGCAGGTGCTTGTGTAGGTGTGGCTAGCTGGGGCTGAGGGAGAAAGAAATGGCACCTGAAAGTTGGCTTGTGGACACTTCGGGGAGCAAAAGAGAGGCAGTGGGAGTTAGCTGAGTGAGTGTGTGTCTACGTACGTACCCACGAGTGTGCGCGTGTGCGCGTATGAGTGGTGAGGGGGTGGATCACTGTTCTGGTGTCAGGCTTCACGAGGAAGCATCTGTGATTCATGGGAGGCCTTGTGGGGGGGATGATAAATGGTGAGCAATCCTGTGTGTTCGAAGACTACGGGCAGCAGAGATGCTGAGAAGCTGCCCTTCAACGTTCTGTGCACCTGCTGATCCCTACCTGGCCCTCCTTGTGTTGACTACGTATGCGTTAGAGTAGCATACGCACAAGTCTGAGGAGGCAGGGATAGAGCGAGCTTGAAGGGCCTTCCGGGATTCAGAAGCAGCTCTGCTTCTCTAGGGATACTGAATGCACGCATACCCATACTCAGAGGTGGACCACAGCAGCGAGATGACCAGGACTCCTGCTGCGGGCATTCAGCTGTCTCGCTGCAGGTCATTCAGGTACTGCCCTTACCTTTCTTCAGCTGCTGGCTGCTTGGGAATAATTTAGGAGAGGCTTCAGCACGCATGAGCAGATCCCTAGAATGCAAATTATGTGATTTACTGCAAGGCCATACGAAGAATCAGTTTCCTGGAGGTTTCCTTAGGGGCTGGCAGGAATGGGGAGACAGCACACTCCGTAAAACTTCTTAAACACTTGATTACTCTAAACCACCTCTAACACGAGTGGGGGTTCCCACATAACTCTTCCCTATGCCCTGCCTTTCTGGTCCCGGTTTCTCATCCTTTTACTTGCCTCCCTTCCCATCCACTTTGTGACTTTCTGGTACAGCTGTCAGCCTCGTTGACAGTTCTAGCCACTGTTTATTGTCAGGGGCTTGGGTGTGTGGGATGGTTGCCATGTTTCTGTCCTGTGAGCATAGTTGTGCAGAAATTCAGTGTATGTGTTATGCAAGAGTGTTTTCCCCCTCACCCTGGATTTCTGTCTCTGCCCCTCTGTCTCTTTGAATCACTACAGTGGTAAGGCACTGGGCATGCTCTTATCCCTTGATCAGCTCTGGGAAGGTGGCCCAACTGACCATCATCTCCGTCAGACGTTTGGGAGTTTCTTCCTAGATTCCACCCTCCTCCTGTGGCTGAAGGCCAAGGCTTCTTGTCTCTTTCATCTTTGAAAGATCTATGGAGGAGCAGTTGTGGGAGGTTCGTCCTGAAAGCTCCCAAAGTCCCCCTACTGGTTCTTCCCTCTCTCCTCTCTCGCTTCTTTCACGTCTCTCACTGGCCTTCCCTCATGCAGGTCTCCCTCCAGCCTGAGGTCATTGTCCTTTATCCTCCACCTCGTCATTTCCATCTTATTGCACCATTCCCAAACTGACTAATGGTATTCTAAGCACTGGGCTTAGAGGGCTCCAGGAAGAAAGAAGGAGGAAATGAAAACATGTTCAGGTGTGTCCCTGGGCTGCCGTCCTTCAATGCAGGGTGCCCTGGCCTCTTTCCATCCTGCTCTCCTCCTGGGAGTTTGTTTTTTATTTATTATCAGAGACTTGTGTGTGTTTGCATGTGTTTGTGTGTTGTGGATAGTTACACACGTCGTGAGGCACTTGTAGAAGTCAGAGGACGACTTGTGAGGTATTTCCTTCAACCTTTATTTAGGGTCCAGGAATCAAACTCAGGTCATCTGGTTTGCTTAGCAAGTACCTTTATTTCCAGAGTCATTTCTCCAGCACCAAGAGGGCTGACTTATTATGTTCAGGGGAATATAAGTAAGAATTTAAATTGCACTTGAACACACACACACACACACACACACACACACACACACACACACTTGGCTAATCTGTGAGAATTCTTTGTGTGCGTGTTTTGAATCTGTGTAGCCAAGGGTGGCTTTGAACACACAAGCCTCGTGTTTCAACCTTTTGAAAGTTTAAATCCTTATTTTCTTAGTATTGTTTAATTTTACGTGTGTGAGTGTTTTCTCGCACATATGTAAATTTGCCCAGAGGCAGCATCAGAGCCTCTGGACCTGCCGTTACAGGTAGTTGGGAGCCACCATGTGGGTGCTGGGAAACTAAACCTGCTCTTCTGCAAGAGCAGAGGATGCTTGCTCATTTGTTTGTTTCTTTCTTTTTGTTTTTTATTTTTATTAATTACAATTTATTCACTTTGTATCCCCCCTGTACCCCCCTCTCTCCTCCCCTCCCAATCCCATCCTCCCTTTCCTTTCTCCACCCATGTCCCTCCCCAAGTCCACTGATAGGGGAGGTCCTCCTCGCCTTCCTTCTGATCCTAGTCTATCAGGTCTCATCAGGAGTGGCTGCATTGTCTTTCCTCTGTGGCCTGGTAAGGCTGTTGTCCCCACAGGGGGAGGTGATCAAAGAGCAGGCCAATCAGTTCATGTCAGAGACAGCCCCTTCTTTTTTGTTTTTTAAGACAGGGTTTCTCTGTTTAACAAGAGTCCTGGCTGTCCTGGACTCACTTTGTAGACCAGGTTGGCCTTGAACCCAGAGATCTGCCTGCCTCTGCCTCCCCGAGTGCTGGGACCAAAGGCGAGCGCCACCACCTCCCAGCTTACAGACAGTGCTCTTAAAAGTGGATCCATCTGCCTAGCTTCCTGATTTTTATTTTTAATTTATTTTATGTATGTTGGCGTTTTGCCAGCACGTATATCCGTCTACCACATGTAGGCCTGGTGCCTACAGAGGCCGGAAGAAGATATTGGCTTTCCTGTAACTGGAGTTACATTTACAGATGATTGTTAGCCGCCATGTGGGGGTGCTGGGAATCAAAACTGGGTCCTCTGGTAGAGGAATCCGTGCTCTTAACATACCCCCCCCAGCCATCTCTCTAGCACTTTTATTTTTATTTTTAATTATATATATGTTTGTGGTTGTGTGCATGTGAACGTAGGTGCCCATGGAGGCCAGGGGTGTGGGATCCCCCTGGAGCTGACGTTACCATAAGTAGTAAGCTGCCTAAGGTGAGTTCTGAGAATTGAACAGAGCGGCACTCCCTCTTAACCACGGAGCCATCTCTCCGGCTCCTGTAAGGATTTCTGAGGCCAGGTTAGAGATCTGGGGAGGAGGAGGTGCATAAAATAGAAACAAACAGACTCAGAAAACTTTTGAAGTCAGTAAAAGTGGCTTTACCCCAAAATGAAAATTGTTGTGGGCAATTGTTGTGGAAGTTGGTGGTAGGGTTAGGTTTTTATCTCCCTCTGGTGGTCTATCGATGTAAGTGCTAGCAGATGCCCGTCCCCGATCCTCTGATACATACATTATGTATGTGTGTACGTGTATGTATGTATGTTATATGTCTGTGTTGCTACATGGACACAGAAGCAGGAAAATGAGGAAGTCCCCCAGCTGCACGCTCTGGCAAACTTAATTCCTCTTTCTGTGGTGGAGATCTCTGAGGACAGACACAGGCACTGGGACAGGGCCTTAGTTCCTTGTTTTATTATTTTTTTAAATTTTTATTATTATTATTTTTTTATTATTGCTGACTTTTCCCCTTGGAAGGGGCCAAATAGCAAAGAAAGGAAAGCAGAAGGCGAGCTCTGGACAGGGGTCACTGATCCTGGCAAGAACGGGAAATCTGGCTCCTGGAAGTCAGGGGGCAAAGGGCGTTCTGAAATGCTTTGTAGCAGAGGAAGCATGCTGTGGGCTGTTGGGTGTCTGGAACAGCCAAGGGCAGTGACTCCTCACACAGACACATTCCCAAACTTTCTCGAGTGAAAGAAGGTAAGGTCGAAGATGTGCTGGAAAGGGAGAGGCTGGGGCAGGAGGAAGCCATGTTTTCTAGCTCACCCTGGAGGCTGAGAGTTTGGAGGCTCGGGTTCTCCTCTTCTTGCTTCTGCACCTTCCCTCTCCTCCCCTCCTCTCTTCCTTTCTCTTCCCACCTCATCTCTCCCCTCCTCTCCCCTTCCCTCTCCCTTCGGTATATATAGTGCAGCTAGCCTCAGTCTCTTGCCCTCCCTGCCTCAGCCAGCTGAGTGCTGGAATTATAGTGTGCCATCACACTGACTTGCTGTTTCTTTTCTTTCTCTCCGTACCCCGCCCTTCCCCATCTGACATGCTGACAGAAGCAGAGACCACTGTTATTGCCGGCACCACCTCTGAGAAACCTCTTCTGCCTGGTCCCTTAGACCTCCTCGTCTTGAACCCCTGATGATGTGGCAGTGATGGGGGTCAGAGCTTCTTGTCCACCATGTGGCTGGTGGAAGAGTTGACATCCTCCTCTGCTGGGATGGCGCCTGCTGCGACGTGGCTTCCAGATCATTGCTGAAGAGACTGTGGTCTCAGGTAAGGAAAGCTTGGAACCAAGGCTCCCCTAGGCCTATCCCCGGGCTTCCTTGGCCATAGTTGCAGCAGGACAAAACATCTTAAAAGTGTGTATTATTTGTCAGTGCCCAAAACATGGGGGGGGGGGAATATTAGAGGCCACAGGCTTGTAACAAGGCTCTTGGCTTTGGGTATAGAAAAGCTTGTCAACTTGTGTGTGCGTTGTTTTTTGTTTTTTTTTTTTTTTCTTTCTTTTAAAGATTTATTTATTTTTTATTTATTCAGTATTCTGACTGCATGTGTGTCTGCAGGCCAGAAGAAGGTACCGGATCTCATTGTAGATGGTTGTGAGCCACCATGTGGTTGCTGGGAATTGAGCTCAGGACCTTTGGAAGAGCAGCCAGTGCTCTTAACCTCTGAGCCATCTCTCTAGCCCCATGTGTTGGTTTCTCGAGACAGGATTTCTCTGTGTAGCCTTGGCTGTCATGGACTCACTCTTTAGACCAGGCTGTCCTCTAACTCACATAGATCTGCCTGTCTCTGCCTCCCTGAGTTCTGAGATTTTAGGCATGCATTACCGTGCCCAGATGTGTGTATGTGTGTGTTTTGTTTTGTTGTTTTTGTTTGACTGGGTCTTGTGTAGCTTAGTCTGGCCTCAAACTGTCCATGTAGCTGAGGCTGGCCTTGAACTACTGATCCTCCTGCCTGAGCCTCAGGAGTTCTGGGATTACCAGCTGTCTGCTTATATGCAAAGGCCAGAAAAACTCCCCTCAGTGCTTAGTTACCAACTCCTCATCCAGAAGCTCTTGAGCATGCAGACATGAAGACAGGACCCTGCCTCTACTTGGAAGAAATTCTGGCCCAGGACAGTCACCATCTGCAAAGGAGATGAAACAAAACAAATAAACAAACAACAACAAAACCTCACAAATGCTTTGTACTTGGAGAGTCACCGAATTCAGAGATGAGCTGCAGCAAAAATCTTAAAATTCAGCTTCATCTCCATCCTTGAAAAACCTCTCCAGGCTGTGAGTGCTAGGAGTGAGCAGAAAAGGACAGGAGTAAGAACCCAAAGACCTAAGTTATGTACAGAAATCTGCTAGGAGCCTGAAGCCCCCCACCCCATCCTCTTTGGATGTCAGAAGATTCGTTTGTGAATCTTCTGACAGACACACTGGCCCTGTCTGTCTGTCTCCGGGAGTGTGGCCAACAGCTGCTGCTGCTCTCAGTCCTTCAGAGGTAAAGGAAAGGGGAAGGTGTGCTCTCCCTTCAGGAAGCGGGAGACTGTCAGATGGAGCTGGGGTTAGGGTGTGTGTGTGTGTGTGGTGGGATTGAGGAGCCAATTGACTCTCTATCCCCACGAGAGGATGAGGGAAATTTCTGGAAGGGAATGTTCCTCTTTTCGTGTTGGAAAATGAATGCGGTGGAGGAGAGGTGGGGTAGGTGGGTTTATACATTTGTCTCTTTCTTGGAGGAGCAAACAACAAAGTTGGTACCTGGCTTCATCTTCCCTGTGGCTTGGTACCAGGGATGGCTTCATGGGCATGTAACCTATGAAGTGGCCACAGGTGCCATGCCTGGTTTAAGGGGGGACTGAGGCCATCTTGAATCATAATAATAATAAAAAAAAACATGTACTAATTGTTATTTATTTTGGGAGAAGGTCTTTCAGTGTAGTCCTAGTTGTCCTGGAACTCACTGCGTCAGACTCAAAGTCTCTGCCTCCTTGAGTGGGATTAAAGGGGTGCACCAGCATGGCCAGTCCTAGCATTTTTTAAAAAGATTTATTTGTGTTTATGAGTGTTTTGTCTGCTTACATAGATGTATACCATGTGTGTGCCTGGTGGAGGCCAGAAGAAAGCATCAAATCCCTTGGAACTGTAGTTATGGATAGCTGTGAGCCACCACGTGGATGTTGGGAACTGAATCCAGGTTCCTCTCCAGGAACAAGTGTTTTAACCGCTGAGCCATCTCTCTAACCCCTTGAGTAATAATTGTTGATTTTTTACTTTTTTTCTTCTCATGTGTATGTGTGTGTGGCGTATCCATGTGCAAGCATGTTTGCATGTGTCTGTTCGCATGTACTTGTGGGGGCTTGAGGTTGAGGTTGGAAGTCTTAGCTGATTGGTGTCTGTCATATCATTGAGGCCAGGCCTCTCAGTTGAACTCAGAGCTCATCAATGCTGGTCTAGCTGGTCGGCTTGCTCCACTGAGAGTCTTTCTCCACTTTCTAAAGCTGTAATTACAGGGAAGTCTCTGGGTCACCCAACACTGACATAGATTCAGGAGCTCTAACAGCCCCCATGCTTCCTGCTCGAAGAACAAATGCTTTAACCGCAGAGCCATCTTTCAAACCGTCCCTGTTAATATTTGTTTTTATTTTATGTGTATGAGTGAGTGTTTTGCCTTCATGTATGTGTGGTACCATGTAGGTTTCTGGTGCCCTCAGGGCTCAGGAGAGGCCGTCAAATCTCCTGGAACTGGAGTTACAGACAGTTGGGAACTGACATGTGGATGCTGGGAATCAAACCTGCCTGCACTTTTAACCCCTGAGTCCCCCAGCCCCGCCACATTTGACAATTTAGTACTTGCTTTTAGTTGTTTTGTTTTGAAGACAGGGTTTCACTGTGTAGCCTTGGCTGTCCTGGACTTGCTTTGTAGACCAGGCTGGCCTCGAACTCATAGAGATCTGTCTGCCTCTGCCTCCCAGAGTGCTGGGATCACAGGCATGGGCCACCGTGCCCAGCTCCCAATTTAGTACTTGTTAACAATGTATTTTGGTCACACACACCTCCAACTCTCCCTTCCCACTCCCCCAGGTACTCCCACCATGTCCTCTTGCCCGCTTTATGTTCTCTGCCTCTCTCTCTGTCTCTCTGTCTCTCCCCTCCCTCCCTGAAACCCAGGGCTGCCTGCTGGGATGTTGGCTGATCCTGTAGTCTCAGTCCTGTGCAGGTCCAACCAGGTGCAACGGCCACCCCACGTCATGTCCGGAAGACACTCCACAGAACTCTTCCGCATCCTATGGCTCTTCTGTTCTTTCCGCTTCTTCTTCCATGATATTTCTCGAGCCTTGGGGTCGGGGTTGGAATGGAGGTGCCATTTAGGGCCGAGCATTGAAGAGTCACTTAATCTCAGCACTTTTACCAACTATGAGTCCTTGCATTAAGTGCCTTGAATTCCTCTGGTCTTCCTGCCTGGACCTCCCAAGTGCTAGAATTGTAGGCGCACCAGACCAGTTTAACTCGCCTAAAACCCACCACGGCCTGGGCATTTTGATTTTATTTCGTGTATACGATTGTGCATCATGTACAAGGAGTGCTCATGGAGGCCAGAAGAGGGCGTCAGATCCCCCGGGACTGGAGTTACAGACAGTTGTGAGCCGCTACGCGGATGCTGGAGTTAAGACCTGGTTCCCTCTGCTCAGGGATAATTCTCCTGCATAATTATTTTTATTTTTTTCTTAGACAAGTAACTCTGCACTAAGTTTTTTTGCACTAAGACCTACAGATTATAAGGCAGGTTCTGTTTGGTGCTATTGTGCTTATCCTGGTAGGCCCAGTACATAGAGGGCCGCCCCCACCCCACCCGTCCGGTCTCATCCCGGCCCGCCTCCCCTGCCTCTCATTCTTGATCCCGAGTCCAGCAGGTGGAGGATGTTCCTAGACAGCGCACAGTTTGCTAGAGGTCTCCAGCAGCTGTTTAAGAACTGTCTCCGCGCCTCCCTCCCAAGACCAGTTGGCTCCTTAAGATCCCAGGTCATCCCCAGGCAGATGAGGTACTCCCGCAGTTCGAGGAACAGGAAGCTTCCGGAGTGGGCATTCCTTCGCGCGAAAGCTCCAATCTCTCGCAGAGGCTAAATATAACCTCCCATTTGAGGCCTCATTTACACCCTTCCCCCGCCCCGGTAGCCCGTACTCTCCCCCTCGGATGACCAGCCCCGCCCCAGTCCTTTTAAATCCCCTTTTTGTTGCCTCTCCCAGGTCCTGAAGTCACTATCCAGCTCCGCCTCCGTTCCTGGCTGCGGCGGCGGAGCCCCGGGGCAACCCAGCTCAGCCCCGAATCGGCTTCAGCATCATTTCCCACCTTCCTTCTGGCTCACCCCCCGCCCCATCCCACCCCTTCGGCCCTGCCTCCCGCCTTTTTAGGTCAAGACGCCCGGACTCCTCTTCGCGACCACTAGCTACTCCGCCCTGCGCAGCGCAGTCCCGCCCACTCCGCCGAAGCCCCGCCCACTCCGCCCGCTGCCGCTTTCCTGCGGTCAACAGTGTTCAGCCTGTCAGCCCCGCCGCCAGTCCAGTCGTTTTAAGACCCCTCTTTAGCATCTCAGCATACCCTCTACCTCAGCTTCTAGCACCCGGAAAACCCGTTTGTTCACATGCAGAGCTTTGGGTGCCGGACAGTAGCAACTGTCTTCTATAGGGCTTCACCTTTGGGGTGGGGGTGGGGGATCCTTCCCCCCCAGGCAGAGAAGCCTGGGGTTTTCTGGGGCTTGTTGTCTTGCTTCCTTCTCAGACACACCCTGGCCGGGGAACCCTGGGCAGGGCAGGGTCTGGCCTGGAGTGTCCCCATTGCCTTGCCCCTGCCTCCAAAAGGCTCTCCAGTGCTTCCACACCTTTGGCTGCTCTGAGCTTCTGAGTTTTGTTTTTTGTTTTTTTTTTTTTAGGTTGCTGTGGTTGGTGGGGCGAGGCCGGGACCCTCTTTTCCTCTTAGCTGCAACCCTGGCCCTACCCTCATCTCCCCACCAAATTATCCCATCCCTTAAACAGGAAGGTGTATATTCCACTAGGGTAGGAGATTTGGGTTCCTTTCTTGTCCTCCCTTGGCATGGACCTCGCACCAGGCCTCCGCTTCAGCATTTCTGGCTTGCTTTCTTCTCTTCTCTACCCAGCCCCTTTTGTAGATAATGAGGCTTTTGAGAGCCGTCGCTAGTCGGGGGGGGGGGGGGAATGGCTTAGCTTGGTCGGGTTCAGAACTGCCCAGAGGAGAAACCCTTCTTCCTTCGGTCTGAGTTTCCCAGG